CAACCAATTAAACAAGTCGAACAATTTTCTTTGTTTCTGATTAATTGATTTTATTGGTTATTAACATTACCTGCGATAGTGGCTCCGTAAATACACATTTGTATCAAATTAGCGTAACAGATCACAAATATCACCGACGCGTAACAGCAATTTGAACGCGACACGCGCTAACTAGAATACGTTTCGGTGATACGCTACGGAAATACTTGGCATGAAAATTAGTTTTAGAAATAGGAAGCAGAGAATCATCATTGAACACCAGAATTGTACTCATTTTTATATTCATTATAATTTATAATATTGACTATCATTGTTTCTCATAAAACTAAAGAATAAGAAACTACAGTATTATTAATACTTTGTCTTCTACTTTTACTCAAACTTATACCTTCGGCTTTGCTAATTTTAAAATTTAAGATTTCTTTTAATAAGAAGTGCCATAAATATAGAAAATATTGTTATTTCATGTTTTTCATTTTTGATACCTTATTATAAATCGCCTTATTATTATAAATGGCTTATATGAATGACAATTCAGAGGTGGAGATTCTCAATGACTGTATTTTTTTTGTATGTAGGTTACGAGAAACTCCAGCATTGTGAATCGATTTTGATGATTATTTTTTTTGTTGTAAAGAGGGTACCGCAATATTCGTCCTATTTAAATTTGAAGAAAATATTTCATCTAAACGGATGGCAAACTAGGGCGTGAATCCGGTTTCGCGCATTTTATATATGTAGATGTCATTCCACGAACTTTTGAAGTCGGTTTTTTAGATCTGTATTGAGATTATTATGTAACGGTTTGCATTGTGTTCCGAGTTCGATTCCCAGTAGAACTGATTGAAAGTCAAATAAATTCAAACTAATATTATAAATGCGAGTAATTATGCCTGTTACGTTTTCCAGCCTAAACCACTGAACCATTGTTGATGAATTTTGGTGTATAGATAAATGGAACCTAGGAGAAGGAAATAAATTTTAAAAGGGGTGAAATAGTATGGAGAACATCAATCCAAGTATACATCCTACTACTGGACACGAGTCTCCTCTTAAGCGAGGGTTTTTTAGGCCATAGTCGGCAACGCTGGCACAATGCGGGTTGGGGACTTAACAAGTTTCCCGGGGTTTATGAACCTTCGGAACGTACAGGCTTCAAATTTCAATTTAAATTTTCGCACATAAATTCCGTTAAACTCGGATGCTCTGCTTGTGAGGCTGTAGGTCAAAACCTTTAGGATACCACACGGCTTCTTCAAAATTTTTAGTTTATTGACCAACATACAGAAAAAATACTTATTTACTAATAACAAGCTTCGCTCACAAAAGCCACACAAATATGGAAGCGTAACGCTTCGTGCGATTCTTTGGAATATCCACAACATAGGGGTGGAACCCCAGCCTACGCGTAGGCCCCCGGTGATGGAAAGGGGAAGGCGGAATTAAACCGTGTAATTCCATCACACTCTCTCCGTGATATATCCTGTAAAATATCGATAAGCACGGCGGTGTTCAAGGCTCTGCAGCTTCGCCTCCACTAATTCCGAGTCACACGAGGCTTATACTCTTGGCATGCTGGTCAATTGAATCCGAGGTGGCCAGTTGCGCTTCTTGCCCGTGGACCACCTGCCTGGTTCACCTTTATGGAAGACAGGCAATTATTTCTTCCAACTTTTACGTATAAAATAGAAATACTCAAAACTTATATATTGGTGGAGGTCCACCTCAAACATTAATACTTTGATGCTGGCCATTATAATATTTATCGTCACTCAGTGAACCAGCCAAGCGGTCCACGGGCAAGAAGCGCTAGTCGGTACGTAGCAGAGCCATCCCAAAGGTGACAGCAGTACTCTACGCACGACCGGACTTGTGCACTTACATATGCATATAATAACAATTAACGGTTTTTTTCCATCCAGCTGAGCGCCGGCTGTATCTCCCGGCATGCAGCCCTCAAAGACATCATCCGATGGGCCTTTGCCACTGTTAACGTGCCCGCTACACTCGAGTCAACCGGGCATGTCGCGAACACATGGCAAACGCCCGAACGGAATGAATCTCATCTCTTGGAGTATAGACCGGGCACTGGTGTGTGACGCCACGTGTGCCGACACACTTGCCCCATCCCACCTCCAAGCACACCAGCAAGAGGGCTGGCTCTGCAGCTGAGCTGGCGGAAAGAATAAAAAGTAATATATAGACAGACAGATAGACGCGGTAGTGATAATATGTAGTGACATATTGTCACTATCTGTCTGTCTGATCGAGATAAATTAAAAAACTACTGAACGGATTTTACCAATACAGACAGAGTGATTCATGAGGTAGGTTTAAGTGTATAATTTATTTAGGTTTTGTGTAAGTTGACTGAAATATGACGATAAATGTTGAAGATGTCGGAAACAATCATGCCAGCTGGGCTAACAGAGATATACCAAATCAATGTTCTAGAAAATTTTAGATCCTAAAAAGGCCTACATAAAAGTCTGCGACGTAAATTCATTATATAGTCTACCTGTATATGATAAGTGCTGAGAAAAGGGCGGCCGGTGCTGATTACATGGCCTGGGGCCTAGTGCTGCCAAGACTGCAAATCCGCCACTACAGATTCCCCTAAAGGCGTCTTCATACGGCCCGTTTTCCCACGAGCTCGTGCTAACAAGCTCGCCGCGTAGGGAGAGAGCTGCACCCGTAGTCGCCTTAATGAGAATGAATAAAGAAAGTATAGGTACTGATATTTCTAAATAAACATTGTTACATATTCATCATTTACAATAGTTATTTCAATATCAAAAAAAAAATAAACTACTTCACAATGACTTAATTAACTTGTGAAAGAGGTCGTCCAGGGAAGCACTGCCGCCTTACCTATTTCTGCCGCCAATCAGTAATGTCAACATTACTGTTTTCCGCATTTGAAAGATAGGTGAAGTAACAGTAAATTGTCAACTTATGTCTCAGGGTGACGGGCGCAGTGGCAGTGCCCCTCAGATCTTTGCAATTTAAAGCTCTGAGTGGCACTGTAACTGTTATGGACAGGCGTGTCGCTTACCACCAGGCGCACGACTTGTTCGTCCCGTCATTTGATATTACAAAAACGAATCGGAAACAACGCCGTTACCACAAACATTCAGTCCCGATACAATGATATTAACAATAATTTTTTGACTGCCTCTGTGGCCGAGCAGTTACCATGCCGGACTGCCACGCAGAGGTCCCAGGCTCGATTCCCGGGCTGGGAGAGGTATTTGTATGGCCTACATTTATTTCTTTCGTGAGTTTGGGTGTAATTTGTGGTTGTCTATGTACGTGTCCATGGCACCCGCGACACAGGGTTTCCTTAATGCGGGGCTATGTTGAGTGTGTGCGTTATTATTATTATTATAAGAGATGTAGTATATAAAAAAAAATTGGGGCGTTCATATTAATACAAGCTTAAATTATACACGTATTAGTATTTATATTCTACCAGGGAATTCGTGATACCAACAACATTGTTAGATCCATAGATTTAGTATATGTTAGATCAATTTAGAACAAATGGTACATATTAGCAATAATAAATAAATTAGCTATCATAATAAACAAGGTCTGTTAATTTTCTGAACGATTGATTTAGTAAAAATCAAGTGATGAGACGAGCATGTCGTGCGTCTGGTGGTAAGCGACACTCTTCACTCTTTAAGTCTTTAGTTTCACCAGCACCCTTCAAAACCAGAACGCAGAAATGTTCATATTACTGCTCGGCAGCAGAAATTGTTTTTTTATTTTCCCAAAACGAACTCTTTCTCGTTGAGAAAGTAACTTAAATTGTGTTAGCAATAGTTTGTTGAAACTATTGCTAACACAATTTAAGTTACTTGAATGTACACCTGTAATCAATAAATGATGATGGTGTGGTGGAAAATAAAACAATCACAACTGTTTCTAGGTATATTCTTCTCTGCACAATGATTAAACATTGGGTTTCCTTTTTTCCTTTATTGCGCGGTGGATAAGATTCAAAGTTGCTTGTTTTCCTCATAAAGCCCGGATATACAGACTTTTGTTTGTAAGCAACCCTCTTTACGACCGTATTCAATCCGTCGACTGCTGTGAAGAAAAGTGTATTCTATGGGAAATATTTATTTATTTACAAACTGCAGTCTTGAAGGGTATTCTACAGGAGATATCACGGAAAGCGCGCGACGAATTGATCTTCTTATCATATCGATGGCATGCACTAGACTACTGTAATAATAATAACGTACACACTCAACATAGCCTCGCATTAAGGAAACCCATGTGTCGCGGGTGCCATGGACACACATAGACAACCACGAATTACACCCAAACTCACGGGAGATATAAATGTAGGTCATACAAATATTTCTCCCGGCCCGGGAATCGAACCTGGGACATCTGCGTTGTAGTCCGGTATGGTAACCGTTCAACCACGAAGGCAGTTAACTGTGGCCTAGAACTCTACCATGAAAACCAACCAAGAACAAAGATCCGACAAGCACATGGGAAAATTCGTGAGGTCCGTTAGTTGGTATAACGTCTGACACGGTTTGCTAGGAGAGGTCGGTTCGAATCCGGCCGGATCGAAGCATTTTTTTTCTAAATATTCGATCTTTGCAATAATAACATTATAACAAACTATTGGAGTAATATATTTTTTGTTTTGCGTCACATGATGCTGAGATGGATTGACATGTTGTGGGGAGAGCTTGTGATTGCAAAGAAAAACCAATCCTAATTATTTAATTAGCTGAAAAAAAAATCAACACAAGCGCAGCTATTGTGCACGATTTAACCCTCACTGGGTTTGGTGAATAACAAATTAATTTACTACCATTTCTATTAGCATGGACTAATAAAGATAATCTAACCTTCACACCACCTTGGAACAAAAAGAAAGAAAAACAAAAAACAAAAACTTTTCAACACAATTGTACAACATTATCACGTCTGTGAGTATATTTTGAAACATACACGATCATTTCAGTTTCGCCCTCAAAAGTGCAAAGACTGTAATGTATACGGGGTGTTAATATAATTATGACGCTAAATAATTACAAAAACATGTTCTTCATTGTATTTACATCGTTATTAGGCCACGTTTTTGCGAGTGCAGCCGTAACAGAGAGCACTTTTAGAGACCAATGTAAGTTAATTATTAAAAAGTTTATTTACCATTTAAACTCACAGAAGTTTCGATATCGTTTTATCTAAATCATCCATATCATCCAAGTATTGAATAAGATTACAGAAATTACTGGCACATGGGACTTATCAACTTATGTCTCAGGGTGACGGGTGCAGTGTCGGTGCTCCTCAGATCTATGCGATTTAAAGCTCTGAGTGGCACTGCAACTGTTATGGACAGGCGTGTAATGAATCATCAGGCAAACGACTTGTTCCTGCCGTCTCTTGATATTATGAAAAGAAAAAAAATATAGTCCATACACAACCTTGCGCTATATTGCGTAAAATTTAAAATAATTAAAATGACACATGTCAAAGTTAGTGATGGGAAACGATCAGTCAAATCTAGAATCGATGTTAAAATGTATCGATATATTTTAATCAGTGTTAATTGTATCATAGTTATAGTTAAAATCAACTTAAATAGCTGATTTCGTAAATAGAATGCTGCCCACGAATAAGGTTAAATTATTTCTCGACTTTGGATTTTCCACGTGTCCCATCACAAACTGTTTTCCGTTGAGCTAACTTCACAGCGTGTGAGAATTAACAATATCTTATTAATGATACAACGGTAGAGCCAATACGAGAAAAATTTAAAAACTTTACTTCTATTATAAACGTCAATGAAACCATGTGTTATTTGTATATTCTAATAATAATGGATTCATAGTTGCGTTTTATGTTCGGTTATGATGTTCTTTAACTTAACAGAATTTAATTAATTTGTCATGACAACCTAATTTGCGGAGCGAACCAGCAGACCTTTCACGAATTTCTCTGTGCTTGCTGCCGATCTTTGTTAAACGGTTTTTCAGACCTGTGAGAAAACTTTGAAAGTTTTTCCATCTTTGTGTTCCAAAGACTGCACGGACCCGAGGACTATGAAAAAACACGCCGCGTATTCAGAATGGGCTGACGCGTACTCCTGTACACGACATCGTTGCCAGCCTGGAGGAAGGAACCTCGCTATTTATACAGTCGGGTAAGATGATCAACTAAGCTATAATACCTAAGTCACACGGCCTCAAGATCAATCACAAGTTAATACACTGTAATCATTGATATTTTGGATGATGGCATCGCAAGTCTACACTTGATTGAGCAGGACGTAATGACGATCTCGACGTAGCGTAAATGCTTCAGAGTTATCAAAACGTCATTCAGTTTTGACAACTCTGAAGACGTAATGAGAAATGCAATACAAGATCTTTATACTTAGTTCAAGCAGATTAACTAACTTACTTCATCTCAAATCTAGGATCAATTAGAGATATTTCTTCCTTACTAATAAGATATTCAATCTCATACAATGATTATGTCGCACTCGTAACTTCGCTTATTCCATCGTGTTATATACCTGGTTATATACCAGAAATAGAGATGAAATAATGGCCTTACATTCCTGGTAACTTATCAGTGATACATTACTTATAAATATCAACTCTCGCTTGCACTGAATGTAGACAGCGCCAACAACTTTACTGACCTGTCTGTATGTCTCCGTATATTCCAAAAATATTCTGTATTTATTGTAATAAAGATAATATCTCTAACAATGCTGTTCTATTCGGTGGTGTGGGAAAAACAGCAAAACATCTAATTACAAAACAAACGGAATCAAATTTCATTGGTAATTAAATATGTAAATTTTGCAATTTTCGTCCATTATAGCAAAGCTCAAGTGAACTGGTCGATTTGAAGTGAAACAATTGACGACACCCGTCAATTGTTTCGAACTCGGGCTTGGCAATCGGAGTACAGTTGTCACAGTAATTATATAGTAGAATAGTTTTCAAACAAATTAAATGACATTTCGTCTCTATTTCTGGTTATATACTCAATGGCCTATTCAGACGCTTATTTGGATCCTTAACGCTGACCAATAGATGGTACCAAGCAAACCTGCGATGCGATTGTAATAATATTCGAAAAGGCCAACAGATGGCAGCTATTACATTTTTAACAAGGTTTTTACCACATTGCTCTTGTTCAGGCGTTGATTGTTTACACAATAACATTATCAAGAAACAAAGTCTGTACTTTTAATTTTCTTAGTTTCGACAACAAATTCAAAACTTCAAAAACCGGCGAACAATACGTGCCGTATCGAGCAGGACCGCCTTCTGCATTAGTGCTGGAATCGACACGCCACAGACATCCAACCGCCTCAAGCTGTTAGAAAGACTGACTGGAATTAACCCATTTGCGGACAAAACAATTAGGATTATTTCAGTGGAGGCCACATCCCACATGTCGGTGATCTCATGCGCCAGGTCGAGATACTTCCGGCGTTTCTCGGTTTCAGCTTTCACGAGACCCTCGTCATGCGGGATGGTGATGTCCACAAGAAATACCCTCGAATGCGCTATATATATATACTAACTAACAAATCTAAGTGTATAGTATTGAGAATATTTCGATTTGTTACCTCCTCAACGACAGTTTAGTGTTTTCACCAATTTATCATTACAATTATAATAGTACATTGTGTATTAAGGGCGTTAAATAAAGAATTAAGAACGAGACTATATTAGAACAAACCACCGTTTCGGGGCCTTTACCAGGTCCCATATTCACGGCTGACTGAGATGGTTTTAGTCATCTAACAGGTTATATAATATTAATGCAAGCCGCCTTACCTTTGTATCTGAACTATAGATACAAAGAATAAACTGGATTTGAACATTTTAGTTGCAAGCGAGTTGAAGCCCCGGAGTCAGCCATCGAATGCGAAGAAGTGGTGGAAGATACCAACATGCAGTTTCCTTATTGTTGCACAAGACTTAGGTGAGTTTTAAACGCTGAGATTTCTTTGGTAACTAAAAAAAACATTTCAGGGATAAAAAAATTCCTTCGATCTGACGTTACTCTGCCAACGGCTGTTGCCAGACCGGAGCTCTTCCCAATTGACTGAGTAGTAGATCTTACAAATTTATTTGCATGCTTGCTGCAGACCTTTCTTCTTCTTAGTGTGTTGCTTCTCTACAAAGGTTGGCGACCATCATAACTATTCTTATTTTTGAAGCAGCCGCACGAAAGAGAGAACGTGTGCTAAGGTGAAACCAATCTCTCAGATTCTTCAACCACGAGGTTTTCCTTCTGCCACGACTACTATTTCCTTGGATTTTCCCCTACAATGTGGTATCTATTGCCTCTAATTACGTGGCCATAATACTGCAGCTTTCTTTCCTTTACAGTTCTGAGTATTTCCAAATTTTTTCCCATTCGACGAAGAACCTTCACATTGGTGAACTTTTGTGCCCACGATATGTCAAGAATACGTCTGTATAGCCGCATCTCAAAGGACTCCACTTTTGATCATCCAAGATCAAGCTCCAAGACTCCGTACCAAAAAGCAAGATACTGAAGACGTAGCAGCGAACCAATGCAGAAAAAGATGTGCTTTGGCTTGAAACGGCGTTTTTCTGCGCCACCTGTGACACACTTATGAAAGTTTATTCACTCAGTCAGGTGCCTTTACAGCTACCAGATTCTGACGAGAGATATCGCTATATTAATTGCAATATTTAATTTATTCCATTCATCAGTAACTCCTGAAACTGATGAATTGCTCACTCACACAATCCCCTTTTCTGCTCGCCTTGAGGTGCTGTTAGCTTTAAACAATCATCGAATCGTTTCCCTGCAAAGTGTTTTGTCAGTTCCAGTATCTCCAAAAAGAATTTGATCTACGTAGATACATAAAGAGAGAATGTGGAGGGATACAAGGGGAAAGGAAGGCCAAAGAAAAGGTGAATGGGTTGTGTGAAAGATGACATGGATAAGTTAAGAAAGGAGTGAGTATGAGGTGGAAGAAAAATACATGTTGTGCCGAGGGTCGGCCTAGAGTCGCATAACGATAGGATGAAGATAGAACTTCTTCTATATTATAGAAGAAAAAGATACCTAAAGAGAGAGTTTTGAATGACGATATGATAGTTTCAAATTACAGTGTCACTTATGCTGAACAGGTGCTTGGTTGTGGTGCGAGGAGAAGTGTGGACCAGAGTGCTGGGCCAGCCGTGGGAGACGCTGCCAGCAGCACCGTGGAGTCATATGTACAAAATGAAGAAACCGCCTCCAGGAGACACGTCATTTTTGCCCAAGTAAGTTCGTTGATATCATCCTCATTAGTGGCAGCCTACTGGTCCCGTCACTTATGCTCTACTCTCCAAGCACGAAAACCTACAGATTTGAGTTTTAATCGGGGCTAGAACTAAGCCTGGCCACATTCTGTCAGAATTCCGTTTCGGAATATCAATTCGAGATTACGGATGTACATTCTTGCATTCGGAACGGCCTTATCCGTGCGGAATTCCAAATGCATAACCTACCATACGAAATTTCGAATCGCAAAAAATCGAACTGAATAGTACTGTATGTGTGTGATAAGTCCGTGATTTGTATGGTTTTCCTGCCTTCGAAATTCCGAAATGGAATTCGGAAAGAAATACATACATGCAAATGCATAATTGCAAGGTTTTATTGAAATCGGTTAAACGAAAAGTGGGTGAAATGCAATAAACCGGTTCCAATTGAAAAGAATCATCGAAATCCGTTCACAAATGCCTGGGTAATCTCGTAACATATACAAAAAAATGTACAGTCGAAATGAGAAGCTTTTTTGAAGTCGGTTTATAATTTTGTGACAGCCCGGTATCGGTAAAAACGTTGGTTGCCCCCAAGGTGAGACATTTTCATATTTTAATTTATAACTTGCAGGATCCCAGACGAAGGTCCAGTGTACGAGCTGCAGACGGATACAGAAGGTGAAAAGGAGAAAGTGCTGCGCTCTACAAAGATCGCACCCACACCAAGCCCGGACTGTAACGAAGTAAAGCCTAGATCCGAACTTAGATCGGTGCCTGCGCCAGACATAGTTGTAAGTTTTAAGCAGATCTATTTCCAAACTCTACGTTACCGAGTCGAATTAACAAGTTGTGCGCCTGGTGGTAGCAACACGCCTATCTATAACAGTTGCAGTGTTACCACCACCACCTGGGGCACTACCAGTACCCCCATCACCCTGAGATATAAAGTTAACAAGATCCTATGACAGTACTCGTAGCAGGAACGCTCCTTGTGAAAGAGTTCAGGAGTGAGAGAGAGTCCAGGGAAGTACTGCAACCTCACCTATTTCTTCCGCCAAGCAATAATGTAAACGTTACTTCGATCGGACAGGTCAGGTCACTTGGTATTTTCACCAGCACCTGTAAAAACCGGTACGGAATAATTCTCATATCAGTTCTTCCCTGGACGAACCCTTGCACAAAGAGCTCTACTGCGATCTCTGCTGCTGCTCAATTACTTATTGCTTGCACCAATAAGGAAATAATATGTTATTATCATTGACTTACAAATAAATGGACGACGGGTCTAATACAAAAACCACGAAAAAAATGTCCCAAGTCAACCTATTTAAACGTAGTGACATGTAAAGGAATATGAAAAAGCTAAAACGTTGAATTTAAATTGTAATGTCATCGCAGTTCTGTCTAATTTTGCTTGCTTCGCTGTCAGTCGAACAAACGAAGACTAAAGCGTGAATGACGCTCTGTATACGATTTTAACGCCCTATAAGTTCGGACACATTTTAGCGCGGACCCGACGTCCATATAATTGTAAGTCAATGGTTATTATGGTAAAATTAATATGTCGACCGTATACCCAACGTGGAGATATAACAGTGAATAAAAGTCGTAGACGTCGGTATGCGGATCGCGAGCTTAAAATGGAAATGGGCAGGACGCGTTGCTAGGCGGGACGACGACCGATGGACCGAGGTGGTCGGACGATATCTTCAGGGTGGCCGGAAGATTGTGAATGTAACTCGCACACAATTGAGCTGGCGTGCAAAAGAGAAGGCCTATACCCAGCAGTGAGTGTGATGATGAAAATTACTTCACAGATAGCGTTATCCACTGGCATCGAGAACAAAGACCACACCAAGAAAAGCGGAAACGATTTTACTGGCTCTAACTTCGGGAGTTCAAATACAAGGTAATTTTATATCATTAGCAAGGTTGTCTAACAATAGCACTTCCTAGGGAATTCTTCTTTTCTATGACACCAAGTGACGGAACAAACAAGTCATGGGTCTGGTGTTAAGCGACACGCCTATCCGTAGCAGTTGCAGTGCCACTCAGAGCTTTAAATCGCAAATATCTGAGGGACAGTGCCACTGCGCCCGTCACCCTGAGACACCAGCACCCTTAACCTTCAAAACCAGAACACAGTAATGCTCACATTGCTGTTTGGCGGCAGAAATAGGTAAGGCAGTACTTCTAGGGACAAACTCTCACACGGAGCTCCACTAACTTTTTCGGGATAGATTGATCGGGATAGAACTGCCTCTGATGTTGATGTTTTTGACGTGGTTTAGTCTTGTAACGCCGCCCGCCCATCTTAGCATTTTGGACTGGAGCAGACTGAAGTAAATAAATAACAATAAATAAATATTAGACATCACATTGCTCTGATCCCAAAGTAAGTAAGTAGATGGCACCAATGATCGATATTCTAAGGCTGTCATTTCTCATGTTCCTGTAATTTCATACCTTTCAAAATCGAAACCCAGTGGTGTTCACATTTACTGCTTGGCGGCAGGAATAGACACGGTGGCGGCAGTACTTCCTTGAACGAACTCTTCTGTTACTCTCTCTCTCTCTCTCTCTCTCTCTCTCTCTCTTCTGTTTCTTTGCCACTGAATTCGTAGTAAAATACCACGCTTAAGGCCCTTTTACACGGAGAGTTTCTAGTCTCAAAGATACGATTAAAGAATATTAAAAAGTTTCTTCGTGTAAACATTCGCTATTATCACGTGGGCTAAATCACCTCACCTTTTCACCATTAAACGTCTTCGTGTAAACAGAACTTAGTAATCACCAGTATTGCCAAGGCCCTTGAATCGAAAATTACATTTTCGTTACCTGAAAAGGTACATTTTTGTGAGTGTGACGTCTACGCTACATAGTACAGGGATAGCGCATCACTCACACCACTGTCTAGTGTCGTAATGGGGGAAACGGCGAGTCACAGTTCATTTATGTTGTCTACTGTCTGGTACATTTTATCTATACACCACAGTGTGCAAAAGTTACATTTTACGAGTACGCTTTCTTTAATTATATTTTTTTTATATAAAAACAAAAATGAGACTTTAGCTGCAAAAATGTAACTTTTCAGGTTACGAAATGTAATTTTCAATTCAAGGGATATGGCAACACTATTATCTACTTAACGAAATTGCATCACTAGTTTGTTGTAATTATTAATACGAAGATCGAACACTCAGATGAGAAATCTGTGAACGTATTTCGTCACCCAGTTAGGTAACTTTACAGCTACGAGCCCTGGCTAGAGATGTCGCTATTAATTGTAATTAAATTTGTATTGAATGGATATTCAATTGTTTTTTGTGAAATTACTCCACTAGTTTGTTATAATTATTAATACTGGCTTAGGTTTACGTGGCTTAGTTGGCATAGCGTCAGACACGATTAGCTAGATGTGTCGGTCGAATCTGGCCGGATCGATGCTATTTTTTCTGTGTTCGATCTTTGTATTAATAATTATTTCCAACTTGAGTTTACAAAAATTCGCAATTGATGCAAGATACTTTTTACGACCCCGATGAGCTAGCAGGTAGTACTATGCGTTATTGATTAGGAATTTCTGGAATCCCGGTAAAACCAATTCCGCAAACAAACCTTTTTAGATTGGTTCTGGTCTGGGATCTCTGGTTAATCCTCCCGGAGTTGTTTTTGCTTTCGTACTTGCAGCAGGACAGGCCTATCTGTAGCAGGTGCAGTGCCACTCAGAGCTTTAATTAGCAACGATTGAGCAGTTGATTGACCAGGCCCATGAGTCTGAAATTTCGCCACCACCTGATCCCTTGGACATTTTTAAGTTGTTTCGATATAACATCGAGTACACAGAAAAAAAGGATTTCTACTAATAAGAAAGAACAATTTCTCAAAATATTTGTTAATTCTGAAAAAATATTTATTAAAAGTAATAAAATATTGTCACTACAAAAATACTGTTTATCTTTTTCTAATACAATTTTACTCTTAACTTTATTCTAACTTTGAGACAAATACGTTCACTTCAAGATTTTATTTCATTTCTAATCAATTAATTGGACATTACTTATATCAAGAAATTTTTACCTCTTACATCAAATTTAAATAATCTTAAATGAATTCAAAATTTCTTGGGTGTATTTTAAGAAAATATATTCTTAAACAAAAAAAGAAGTAGTTTTCTATTCAGATTAATATTCTAAATTCTAGAGTATATTCTTAAAGCAACATTTCGTTGCGTTTTCATAGTCAATCTTGTCGTGACATGTCGCCGAAGGCGCACGCGGTAACGATTACTTTTACTTGTGCTTGTAATCATAAAAATCATAAACAGTCATTTATCCAAAGAAACAATACGTAGTATCTCTAGTTTGTTAGGGTGTTCTTTATAGTCATAATTTAAGAAATTTGGTTACAGCATGAAATCAAACTACACTTGTAACAAGCATAACATGCAATTAGTTCCATCACGCCACTGCTAGATGGCATTAGATGTACTCTGAAACGCGCTATCGTTTTGTTAACTTCAATAGTATAAAGTCATCTCATATATTTGGAATTGTTAGTGCTTTCTGCCGCTGTAGCATTTATACGGCACTGGATGGTCCTCAAGTATTTGAGAAGATTCCATATTTCCATCCTATTTCTGCTACTTTAAGGTTTGGCACTGTTGGGTCCATAACCCTGTAAATTTATCCTTTTTGATATTAGAAAACATAAATGTTCAGTCAAATAATTAAGTACCTCTCAATTTTTCATTCTTTTTTTTTTCAAATCAAAATCGGACATTTCTAATAACAAATAAATATTTTGTTGAATCTAGAGTGGCTTTGTGACTTGAAGTAAATTAATTTGCTCTTGGATTAAATATTTCTGTCTTGTAACGAAAATACACTTTTGAGACGTTTTTTTACTATTATCAAGTAATTATTCTCTAGCGTCTATAGGGAGAGAATCGTTTTGTTGGATTTAATAAATTTGTCTTCATAAAAAGAATTTTGTCTTTTTCTAAGTAATCTGTTTTTACCGTGTATATAAGCCGAAATAGGTCTTATATCACTTTTAAATATGAACTTTCGTTTGCACTGAAATCACTAATTAGAAAGCTGAAATAGTATCTACAGCGCCAACAACTGACGTTTGTTGAGAGACGCAACGTCATTTAATATGTTAAAAAATTATTCTGCCAAATCATTTCAGTGACAACTGCGCTCCGATTGGCTAGCCCGAATTCGAAACAATTGACGGGTGTTATCAATTGTTTCACTTCAAATCGACCAGTTGAATTTGAGCTTTGCTATAATGGACGAAAATTGAAAAATTACATATTTAATATTTAATTACCGATGAAATTTTATTCCGTTTGTTTTGTAATTAGATGTTTTGCTGTTTTCCCCCACACCACAACAACAGCACGCCATTGTTAGAGATATTATTTTTATTACAATTAATACAGATTTTTTTTTAAATATACGGAGACGTACACACAGGTCAGTTGTTGGCGCTGTACTATTTCAGCTTTCTAATTTGTAATTTCAGTGGAAACGAGAGTTGATATTTAAGAGTGATAGGTATATATAGATAAGGGTAATTTGTCTAATGCGTTGCCAGAAATGGATAGATGGCCCTTATTTCGCATCTATTTCTTGTTATATACTCCATGCCCCGAGCCCAGGAATCGAAAACTAAACCTATGCGTAGGATGGTGGTAGATCACGGAGAAAGTTAGTGCATAATGAGTTCCAAAAATGCCTCGAATGATAAAAACAATTCCATCACAGTTATTGGGATCTTAACTTATTTAAAGAACATTGTTTTTTAATTTCACAGACAAAAACGGGGAAAAAAACACGCGCCAAGAAGCAGAATCTTTGAAGAGGATGCTGCCATGGATCCTGCTACTCAGCCTGAAGATCAGGATGAATCTACTCCGGACAGAGTAAGTACCCGACAAGTCTATTGGGCACGGGAATGTATCGAGAATTTCGACCAAAACGGATTTACGGCCGCATCCGTTCCTCGAACTTGGGGTGACCCCCCGTTCTCTATCCGAAACAATTACTGTCAAATTAGTATAATACTCGACCAAATCAAAAGATTGTGTCTTATTACTTATTTGACAGTATAATTTTTTCGGACGGATGTTGACGGAGAACGGGGGTACAGGGTTTGGACTCCGATTCAGAACTCTTTAATATTTTAACAGAATCGTTCAATTGGATATCGAAGGGCACTTTTTTTAGCTATTCAGAACATTACAGTTCTATCGATTCCGAGTAGGATACGATATCGTTGTCCAACAGCGTTTACGGAGTTAGTCGGTGAAATAGATTATGTGAAAAATGAGAATTTTTATGTACATCTTTAACACTTTAAAGGCCTTGAAGAGAACAAATAGCTGCAAACCATATTTTAAAGATCTTCGACTACTGACTGTTCCTTCACTTTATATCTACGAAACTGCCGTGTATATCCGAATGCACTTACACTTGTTTACACAAACTCTGAAGCCAAGACGATATGACCAACTTCGTTTGAAAGCCTGTAAAACTACCCTCATGCAGAAAAGTATTTTTGTAATGGCGCCAAAAATTTACAACAATTTACCGGAAGCACTAAGGTCTGAGAAAAACCTTATGCTATTTAAAAAACAATTAAACAAGTTACTTACTAATAAAATGTACTATACAGTGTCTGAATTTTAAAATGATAAATCCCTAAATTCATTGTCTAATTATTGACATTAGACGTCATTGACGTTATTCATGTTACGATATTATTTTGACATCTAATTATTACGCGACGGTGTTTGACATCAGCTATATGTTCTTTGACGCGGGTACAAATACTTCGTTTGTTTGTCCAATATAAGAGAGACCGCACTCACAGTCAAGCTTGTAAACTCCTGCATTCTGTAAGGGGATGTTACATTTCACGGGTCTCAGGAACTGAGAAATCTTCCTCAGGGGCTTGTAATAGGTCTTGATAGATGCACGCCTGAGGACTCTTCCGATCTTGTCTGTAACACCTCTCACGTAAGGTAAGATGGCTGGTCTTCGCTCGACTGTTGGTGGTTTCACACGGGGCCTGCGGCATTGTCGTGGAATCTTCAACTTATTCGCATGTAGGACTTGCTTTATATGCTTTTTTTTAGTTTATTCTAATTTCTATTAATAATAAATTAACTTAATAAAAATTCATTCAATAAAATAATTTGTAAAACTTAATGTAGCGTAAATTGGAATGTTTCGTTTGTAAAATTAAAAATAAGGTATTTAATTAACAACTATTGTAACTATAGTGAAAAGTGGTTTACATTAATATTAGACATAACTGGTTGAAGACTGTACCACCTCAGTCAACCGTGACCATTGAAGACTGTACCACCTCAGTCAACCGTGACCATGCCCCCGAAAAGGGCCCGAAACGTCGGTTTGTTTGAAAAAACAAATATACGCGATTTAAATCCGGAAAAATAGTTTCATTTCCTATAACTAGGCTATATACAAAAGAGCGATTATTGACTCCTAGGTCCGCAGTTAATGAACAGTGTATAGTTACAATAAAAATAAAATGGAATTTATTATACCTTACAAAGTTATGCGACAGTAAATACTAGAGTCTGAAAATTTGAACCATTTGTCGTATTCGTCGCTGAGATAAATGCATGGACAATCCAAACGCGTCCATTCCACACGAAGTCCTGCAGGAACTTTGATGAGTGGTGTCTATACTCCTTATTTAAACAAATTAATCTTTGTTGCGATTTGGGGAAGTTAGGTTTTTTGAAAACGAGGCACCAATCCCACTGCGGCATCTATTCCGGTTTTACCCTACATTGTACCTAAATTAATTTAAGATCTGTATATTTACTGCATTCTGGCAAATAAACGTATTCTATTCTATTCTCAACAAATAAATAAAAGAGTACTGACGATAAATTTCTGTTGTTTCGTTAGCCGCAAGCCCAGGAGACGGGATCAGATGAAAAATACTACTCCAATGCGGCCAGTGTGACACAGAGGGCTCAACTACCTAGTAAGGTAAGCAATTTGATGCAAATAAATCAAACGCGCCCGTCTTTCATGAAATTGACCATATTCATTGTCAGCCTATCATTTTTCCCACTGATGCCCTTCGACGGGCAGGTGTCATCACGATGTTTGCCTTGAGAAAAGAGCGAGAGCTTTTGCTACTACCGCTTACTATCTATAATAATAATGAAATCGTTTATCTTCACACATTAATAAGTAAAAACATTGACTTACAAATAAATGGACGACGGGTCTAATACAAACACCACGAAAAAAATGTCCCAAGTCAACCTATTTAAGCGTAGTGACATGTAAAGGAATATGAAAAAGCTAAAACGTTGAATTAAAATTGTAATGTCATCGCAGTACTGTCTAATTTTGCTTGCTTCGCTGTCAGTCGAACAAACGAAGACTAAAGCGTGAATGACGCTCTGTATACGATTTTAACGCCCTATAAGTTCGGACACTTTTTAGCGCGGACCCGACGTCCATATAATTGTAAGTCAATGAGTAAAAATAAAAATATACGCTCTACAGTGTTTAGTAACAATAATGGTGTTAGATAAAAAGATCTGTAGCTCAACAAATGGTGGAGTGTTTGACAACGCCGCTGATATTCTGCCACAGCCTGTCATGTTCATAAAAAGTTCTTAGGTTTTCGCAATTGTTACACATAGGAAATGAAACTATTTTTCCGGATTTAAATCGCGTATATTTGTTTTTTCAAACAAACCGACGTTTCGGGCCCTTTACAGGTCCCATGGTCACAGTTGACATTCAAAAAATAGTTTCACTTCCTACACATTATCATTCTAGTTCTAAGATTTCGTTACACACAGTGCACTATCCACACTCAACTACACTACAATGCCTACCTCCAATGTTTGCCTCGACTACCAGTAGTAGATCCCCTTGTGAAAGGGTTCGACCTATTTCTGCCGTCAAGCAGTAATGTGAACATTACTGCGTTCCGGTTTCGAAGAGTAGAGGTGCTGGTGAAATTACAGGCACATGGGACTTGTCGACTTATGTCTCAGGATGACCGGCGCAGTGGCAGTGCCCCTCAGATCTTTGAGCTTTAAAGCTCTTAGTGGCATTGCAACTGTTATGAAGAGGCGTGTCTCTTACCATCAGGCGCACGAATTGTTCGTCCCTTCACTTGTTTACATAATAGTAAAAAAAATATTTCAGCGTTTGACCATGGTATTATAAGATAAGTAGGGCAACTCCCGCCCGTTCGGCGCGTAAATGCCCAGAGCGTAGGGCTGTCACATTATTATTTTAGTTATACCACAGATTGCAAAAGATATTTTGAAAAAATAACGTATTCATCACAGTACTGCGCTATATTCAAAATTAAAAAAAATATATATTCAGAAGGTTTGTTCTCAAAAGCAGGCAATAGAATATCAAAAACGAGAAACAGACTGTTACCAAATAGATTTTTGGTTTTAAGTGTTTATACAGAGTGGGAAATTTAACGACGATTGATTGAATTGATCAATTTAATCCAAGTCTTTTATTATTTGTTTCACTTAAAAAAAGAATATGTTTTATTCTGTCCTTAAGTAGGTAAAATTTACGGAACAAAACTACCGATATCTTAAGGTATCGATACTTTTGATTCGACACTGTGTCCCTACGCGCAGAGGGCGTGCAATACACAAATACCGCGTTGCTACGTTTGTATGAAACTTCATAATGGCGTAACTACACTACTCGTCTTGTTTGGCATTGTATAATTTTTAATAAAAATTTATGTGGCCAAAAAAACGATTGCTATATATTATCAATAACTTTTATGAACATTACAATTTATACACCATCAGTCACAAGTGGCGTGGACGGAGATACCGCAAAACCAGTGGAACGAACACGAGCCCAGCGTAGACGTTGAAGCGGCTCCCAAAATCGTAAGTTTGCAAACCAATTAAAGTCAGTATGTTTAAGATTCGTGACAAAGCGACCAAAACTATCTCAATATTAATTAAATTTTTATTGAATTGATATTACTCCACTAGTTTGTTATAATTATTAATACAAAGATCGAACAATCAGAAAAAACACTCAGAAAAAATTCCTTCGATCCGGTCGGATTCGAACCGACGTCTTCTTGCATACCGTGCCAGACGCTATACCAACTAAGCCACGGAACGAACCAACGGACCTCACGAATTTTTCTATGTGCTTGCGTCGTGTCTTTGTACTTGGTCTTTCAACGACTTTTTAGTCGTAGCGCCATCTATGAGAAATCTTTGACAGATTTATCACCCAGTTAGTACCTTTACAGCTACCAGTCCTGGCGAGAGATGTCGCTATTCAAGATATGCAAGAAGACGTCGGTTCGAATCCGACCGGATCGAAGTAATTTTTTCTGAGTATTTTTTCTGATTGTTCGATCTTTGTATTAATAATTATCTCAATATTGCTCTGAGAAATTGAAATACTTTGCAAGTGGCAGATCAGCTGAACGTTATACCTTAAGAGCTATACCTGTGAGCTATACTCTAGCCGAATTCGACATAGAATGTTTAATAACAAAACGCCTGCTACGGACGGGGTCAATAAAACGTCAAACCTTCTCAAACTAAGAGTCTATACAACTTCAAATGGCTTCGGTTGGTTCCGCACAACAGTGAAAGTGTTGAGTCATTCACTTTGAAAAAATATATAGTAAAATTGAGGATATAACTGATTACTATACGGTGTGAAAACAAGATTAGTAAAAATTTTCACGATAGACCATACCAGTCATTGACTTACAATTATATGGACGTCGGGTCCGCGCTAAAAAGTGTCCGAACTTATAGGGCCTTAAAATCGTATACAGAGCGTCATTCACGCTTTAGTCTTCGTTTGTTCGACTGACAGCGAAGCAAGCAAAATTAGACAGTACTGCGATGACATTACAATTTGAATTCAACGTTTTAGCTTTTTCATATTCCTTTACATGTGTCACTACGTTTAAATAGGTTGACTTGGGACATTTTTTTCGTGGTTTTTGTATTAGACCCGTCGTCCATTTATTTGTAAGTCAATGATACCAATGATTATTCTTATATCAACTGAAGTAAATAGTACACGTATACCATACGATATACATTTTTGAAATGGCTTACATTGCGTTTATAAAAAAATAGATTCTGAAATAAAGCCAGTGGCCTTGCCTCTCGATCTAAGCTAAATGAACCGTTTTTAGTATGAGAACAATTTGAATTCAAGCTGAGGTAATATAGACTCTTGTAAGTTACAAAAAATGCAAGTAAAGTAACCTCTAAAGATCTGGCAACTCTGGCAAAAGCCTCCACCAAATCAGCAGCATGATTAATTTTAAGATTTTTATAGTTATTTGCTAAATTTAATACTTTTGGTTACGTTTCTTATATTTACTTGCCTCTGAGGCAATATACTTTATATTTACTGCGTTACCATACTTTTTCTTCTTCTTCTAATCTGTAGTTGTCTATTTGTGTAGCCATGGCACCCGCGATACAGGGCTTCCCTGGTACGGGGCTCTGAGCGTGCGTTATTATTCAATAATTGTTGTATACAGGGTGACAAGTTGAACGAGATAAATATTTTAAAAGGCCAATGAAGTAGCTGGTAACCTATATCGAATAAGTAAACACACACAAAACACTACCTTGTTTTTAAATATTCTTCTCTAAGGAAAATACTGCCTCTAAGATTTTGTAATACTCTGCGCGAGGTACCACGTCAATCGAACGTGTAGCGAGTGCCCTACAAAGTCAATCAATCGCTTACCGGCCTCTGCACACGCTTTCCCACCCGTTTCCCACCCGTACTATTTGATTTTCCTTCGTATTTTAAGACTGTCATTCTAACTAAATATCCTTTTTATACAAAACAAAAATTTTAGTTACAATGGTATGTTTAGAAATCTATATTTAGGTACAACTATTTCGAATACTCGTACACGTAGGTTGATATTATACGTACAGATACCTACCACACCTATCAAAAAAAATTAGAACTTACTTTTTTGCAAGCTTACATAATATATACTGCCTCCGTGGCCGAATGGTTACCATGCTGGACTGCCACGTAGAGGTCCCAGGTTCAATTCCCGGGCCGGGAGAAATATTTGTATGACCTACATTTATTTCTCTCGTGAGTTTGGATGTAATTTGTGGTTGTCTATGTGTGTGTCCAGGGCACCCGCGACACAGGGTTTCCCTATTGCGGGGCTATGTTGAGTGTGTGCGTTGTTATTATTATTATATACATAATGTAGATACGTATTAGAGACTTAGAACGAGCTGGCAACGTTCAAAAGTGCATCCCTCTCGAACTTGTGAATAAAAAACAGATGAACTATCAACGCAGACAGTGCCTACTTTGTACTGAACTAAAAAGAACGATGAACTTTTAAAACCGTGCAAAACGAACTAGTTCATGTCGGTCAGTGTCAGGAATATATTCGTAATTCATGAATTATACAAGCCGAGTTCGCTTGAGCTCTTGTGTTAGACGGAACGTCGTCGCGTATCTGTGTATTCACTTGTGTAGTTCAGTGGAGTGCAGTGACGTTCATAACGATGCATTATGATGTTATTAGTCGTGCTAAGATCCTGTACCGAGAAACAGTTCTTTTCCGGCGTGTTCCATCCTACACATTGATGTCAGGACTCTATTTTGTCTGCCCTAAGCGAGGAATGAAGGGAAAATTGATTATTTTTATAGTACTCTTTAAGTAGGAAGGCTTGACATGCGGGAATTCAATTTCCTACCGCTCAACAGTTCTGTTTCATAGAGTAGCCCACATTAAGAGTGTCTAGTATTTGTGAAATGACAGTAGATTTTTTATTTTTCTTACGTTTATATATTTAGATATTTATAGATATCGCTACTTGTTTGCCTGTTTTAATATTTATCTCGTTCAACCTGTCACCCTGTATTAGATATGAGCGCCGTTCAGCTCCACCAGGCGCTGCGTTCGGACGCACGCGCAAGCTTGCGTATTCTGTATGCGTAGTGAAAATGGCGACGCCAAAAATTGGCATTTCTGAGATAAAACTTAGTGACTTTATATTCGAAAATGTTTTGTGTAAAATATAAATTTGTCAATATCTGGCGTCGTCATTTTCACTACGCAAACACAACATGAAACATTTAATTACTATAGAATATATCTTACCTTTACCTTTTATTTTATTTTTTTACTTTTTGCCTCTTGAAAAAGTATAATTGTTTATCGGTTTAAACGCCCGCCGCTGCCGCCGACATTTTGTCGTCAGCGCACCACCGCCAGTTGGTCTACTGTCGGCGCTCATATTCACCCTATATATAGTAAAAATAATAATACTGATATTGCTTTCGATTTTAATTGATATTGCTCCATCACATCACTAAGATTTATTTTGGCCCTCGCCTTTTTTATGGATACTATTTAATGTGATTTTTTTTATCAGTATTACATTTGAAGAACAGCCGTAGCTCGTCCATTTGCCCGTTATGTTGACTGGTCCCAGTCTCTCCGGTTATCTCCGCTTTGGTGGCAAAAATCTAATAGCCTTTTCATACGCATTACGTCAGCGTCTACGCAACTCTGATGGTTCATTTTGCGTAAAAAAGGATAATAGGCAACTTTGAAAACGCTCTCAAAACCTCTTGAGACTGAGTTTCTACCTTTATTGCGAAATTTGCTCTGTGGGTTTTTTAAACTTCTCAATGAACTCAATAAATCAGAGGTGTACGTACGGCAAATCTGAAAAAAAAATTGTACAGTCAAGAGCACATCACGATTGACACTTTGTACTTTGGACCGTTCTTATCGTGAGTTGGATTTCAGTCTTAACTGTCAAGCTTGATGCGCTCTTGACCCTGTACAAATTTTTGTAAATTAAATTTGTATTCAATTGACACTCAATTATTTTTTGTGAAATTACTCCACTAGTTTGTTATAATTATTAATACAAAGATCGAACACTCAGAAAAAAATCGACGTCTTCTAGCATACAGTGGCAGACGCTATGCCAACTAAGCCACGGAATGAACCAGCGGACGTCACGAATTTTACCATGTGCTTGTTGTTGAATCTTTGTATTTGGTTTTCAACGACTTTCAGCCGTAGCGCCATCTATGAAAGTATTTCGTCATCCAGTTAGGTAACTTTACAGCTACCTAAGCCCTGACTAGAGATGTCGCTGTTAACTTTAATTAAATTTATATTGAATTGGTATTCAATTATTTTTTTGTGAAATTACTCCACTAGTGGAGTTTATAAAAAAAAATTATAAGGAGGTCATGGGTGGCCTCCATGGTGCGGGACAACTCCGATCAGTACCGCGTCGCATTACACTACAAGAGAAAAACCCGCGGATTAAAGGACCGACCTACTACGAGCACCTCCTATCTGCCGAACTAAACAATGAATCTTGTGAGGAAACGTTCAGGTGCAGACTTAAGAACCTTTTATTGGAAAAGTTCCTTTACTCAGTAACAAAGTACCCTCAAAGTACTTAATAAATAATCAAATTATTATATTTATAAATGAATTTCAGATTCACCGTATTATTATACTTTAGTACACATTTATTAGTAATTAAGAATCCATGTTGACATTTCCTGTATACACTGGACATTGTAGTTTAATTCAATTATTTACTACTTTCATTAATTATCACGTTTTGTATATTTACACTATTACGTGCTTATGACTCACTGTTATATAATTATTTCTTCATTATTTTGTAAACTGACGCTCACATTTCGAAGAGTAGTATAAAATTACATGTAATTGTATTTATATGACATTTATAATGTAAACTATAAAGTTAAAAAGTTCATAGTTTAAAGTCGTTAAAACCTAGATCTAAAATAAAGATCTGCATCAAGTACTGCAACAACACTAAGCCAACTAACTTAATTTTTGGACCTGTTCTATTTTTACTTTGTTTCTTTATTTTTTTTTAAGCATTTTAGTAAGGTAACCCATCACAAAGTCGAAAATGTTTTGGTTCGAATTTTCATTACACGGAAAACCGAATTATAACGAAACATTTCGACGCCGGAAAGCGATCTTGTGGTATCTCGAAAAATAGGACTTTACACCAGAGCCGAAAAACTATTTCAAAAAATTATTTGTCTTTAATTTGAATTAGTAGAAAGTCAATTTTAAAGTATGATGTATATAAACGGAACAACCATCAAATAGCATTGACGAAATTATTCTAAAATTGGTTTAACATGGGTTTTATACTAGTTACAGCAATCGCATTTTCAAAACCAAGCAGCAATTTTGCTTTATATCGAAATTGTAACATGTGGCGCAACAAAATACCACACAACTTTCAAGAAGTGATTTTGCTCTAACTAATTTGGAGTCCAATATATAGGTCCATTTTATTGATGTACCTATCTAATCTAGTTTTTAGATATAGGGTAGATTTTGTTTTAAATATGAATAAAACTACAGCTCTGCTTCATTTAAAATGCCGTCAATATTTATTAAAATTAAAATGAAAAACTGCACTTTGTACGCTGTTACAATGAAATCAAATCAGTCTCTATCTGAAAAACAAAAGAACCAATTGTTCTGGCTTTATTGGCACTTCTGACCAAACAGGTTTGGTATTAAGAAATTTTCTGCAATAACTTGTGACATAGTAATTTTCAACAAATCACATCCTAAGCCGACAAATTTGCTGTTTTTTAAGTAATGCCTTGTATCGGTTTTAAATCCTCCTTCCTAGCTCGACGTTTTATCATCTAAAATAAAAATTAGTAAAATTAAAATAAGTACATACAATACTATTACTTTGACCCCTCCTACTTAAAGTATCGTATGTCGAAATTGACAAGTTTACATGGGAGCCTCTTAAAATTTGATTTTACTGAAATGGGCTTAACACGTGACTTTAACATTTCTCGGTTTTATAGCTCGGTACTCACATAGAGTATTATAAAATCCCAGATATCGGTTAGATGAACAACTACAATTTATTTTATAATTTTATACTAACGCCGATGTGGGTTAGCAAGCGGGTAAACTAAAGTGAGACTGGACGGATCACGTCTGCTGCATGGTGGTCGTAGACGAAATTTACCACAGTATGGATACCCAATCGATGGAGAGACGAGCTAGACGCGCGCCTAAAAGACTGAATCTCAGTGGCGCGAAACAGAGAAGTGTGGAAGGAGGGGGACAGTATAGGCTCATAATATAATAATAATAATGATAGCAACGTACTTACAAAAGTATTTATTTTATCAGTTGTATATTCTTATTTAACCTGATTGTTAATAAATTATCAAACCCGGGTTCGATTCCCGGTAGGACCAATTTGGGAAATAAATTTTTCAAATATTTTTTATTATAATAAAAATTACGGGACGAACAAGTCATGCTCCTGATGATAAGCGACACGGCCACCCATAACAATTGCAATACCACTTTGAGCACTGCTCCTGCGCCCGTCACCTAAAGTTGGCAAGTCTCGTTTGCTTGCAGTTTCACCAGCACCTTTACCCTTCATCATCGAACCCGCCAGACGTTGGCGACAGAAATAGGCGAGGTGGCAGTACCTCCCTGGACGAACTCTTTCACAAGGAGCTCTACTGTTACAAAAAATTGGTTGTGGTCTGGGTTTTCTGTTGTCAGATAAATGCGGTTGCATTTATCTTGTCTCAAGGAGAACCTTGTCGAAGGATTTAAACCCGCGGCCTGGAACAATCACGCGGACGTCACACAGATGACTATGAATTGGTTAGAGCGTGGACGTGGTTTATTTCAGGCCGTGGGTTCAAATACCTCGTGGGTCATAAAAAATTATTCCCATATTTTCATGTATTTAATTGATAATATCCACAACTTTTGGGCCTTTTATGTGACATTGGTCTTGATGATAGGGATGTCAGGGTCATTCGTAACCTGTATGAGAAGCAAGTGGCCACGATAATAGTTGAGAGTGAGGTTTAAATAAATAAACCGATCAAGTTGAGATATGTCGTGGGGTCCGGCAGGGCTGCATCCTGGCTCCGCTGCTTTTTAATGTTTACTCGGAGGCTGTGATGTCGAAGGCGCTTGAAAACCTTGAAGTGGGAATAAAGATCAAAAGCAAAGTCGTTAACAACTTGCGTTATGCAGACGGCACTATTTTCATTGCAGCATCAGAGACCGAATTGCAAGCAATTGTAAATAAGGATAATGAATGTAGCGAGAAAGCTGGTTTATAAATGAACATAAACAAGACGAAGCTCATGGTGGTGTCGAGAAATCCGGATTTGAGCCCTAACATATCTGTAGCTGGGAAAGGACTATAGCGGATACGACAGTGCAAGTATTTGGGGGCTTGGGTAAATGAAGCATGGGAATCTGATCAGGAAATCAAGACCCGGATAGGAATTGCTCGAGCCTCTTTTAACAACATGAGGAAAGTTCTGTGCTGTCGTAAACTGAACATATAGCTCCAAGTCAGGTTACTTTTATGTTACATCTGGCCTAACGTTATGTAAGGCTGCGAAATGTGGACCTTAAAAGAAGACACTACAAGACGCCTGCAACCGTCGCATTGGTTGAACGCAGAGGGTATGAACGAAACTATGCTTCAGCGTGTTCATATGTCCCTGAAAATGATGCCATCTATCAGAAGGTGCAAAATAAAGTATCTTGGTCACGTGATCAGGAACAATAGATACACGCTGCTACAGCTAATAATGATGGGCAAGGTGCAGGGAAAGAGACGCGCTGGGCGAAGAAAGAAATCGTGACTGCGGAACATTAGAGAGTGGACCGGCATTGCCTCCGTCGAACAGCTGTTTCAGTTGGCTGCTGATAGAGACGGATCCAGAAAGCTGACGGCCAACCTTCCGCATTGAAGAGGCACTTTAAAAAGAAGAAGAAGAAGAATTGATAATAATAACTCTGTGAATGTGCACTGTGTGTGTGTATATGTAAGACCTTCATAAAACAATTTTGAAAAGTTAATTTCTCAAGTTTACCGTGTACCGAGAATCAAACCCGGAACCTAGAGTACAGGAATTAACACCCAGGCCAGAACCAATTTACAAAATATTCATTTCCCAAATTGGTCCTACCGGGGATCGAAGCGGTCGAAAAGCGGCTTTTCTCTTTTGTTGTGTTGCATTTAGAGAGATGTATACTTTATTTAGTACAGAATATGTTTTGTTAATTATGAAAACGTAAAATTAATTACCTCGGCTTTTGGGCCAGTACTGCGTATCTTTTTCTTCACGGGACCCCGGCTATGGCGGCGGCGGCAGCTCGAAGAATTCGTCTGCGATAACAAGGCACTGATCAATCGGTAATAGACATTATTACTAAATAAAGGAACCTACACGATATCACAGTATAAGACACCACAAAGAGATATTCAACCTTTCGCAGCAACTAGAATTGGTCGATCTGTCATATTTAGGTATGAAATTGGCTTACCTTTGATCTTCTGTATTTTTCAGATTAAACACACAAAAAATTCGCCAACCACATAAATGCATTCTCACTTCGGCGCCCGCGCGTCTGTTGCCCTACAATCGTGAAGGAGCGTAACTAAAGGAGGGAAGGGGGAAAGGGGACTTTTATTTAGTTTAAAAACAATTGTATATAATTTCAATCTTTATTAAAATGTGTTAAGTGCATTCTAGTGCCACATTCACTGAGTTATAAAGTTGTAAATCGTAACTTCAATTAGCCCAGAGCGAATTGAATTATTGCATTTCCAACTAATTACAATTATCGAGCATCTCGGTGAACCATAGTTGGTTGGCCACGATAAAATGCTGTAAGTATTGCGAAACATTTAAACGGGGACCGTGTATCTCAACTTCAAAAAGAAATGTAAGCAAAATTCTTGGTGTATCTATTTTATCATAAAAAATAGCAAATTTTTCCTATTTACACCATTTTGTTCCGTGTGTTAAAAAATCAGGGTCAATAGTCGACGTCGTATAACGAAAAAATATCGTCGTACAATTATGAGACCTAGACCAAAAAATACGCAATTTTTTTCTGATTCCAAATATATAAAAAACTCATTTTGCCATTTTTCGAGATACGACAAGATCGCTTTCCAGGGTCGTTGTTCTTTCAGGATATGTTGAATGTTTATCACAAAGACACGATTAGGTTAGGTTAAGTTAGGTTTAAAAGAAAAACCATTTTCCTCTCAAAATTACTTTCGAGGTTATAAAACAAAGGTTATAAAACCAAACGTTATTTCTGGAAAATGTCATTTCGGACTAGTAATAGGTAATCTTTTAGTAAATAAATATGTCTGTTTCCAAAAATGACAGAAAATGGCCAATAAATAAAGTTGACACTACGTATTTATGTGGAGGTTTTGATAGAGAAATTCGTAAAGTCCAAACAGATCGAAGCAATTTGTCTTTGTGTTCGATTTTTGTATTAATAATTATACCAAACTATAGTTATGGAGTAATTTCACAAAAGAAACTGTATTTCACGATTGTAAAACATGGTGATATTCAATAATAAGCTTTGATGGTGGAAATTCCATGTCAATAGGTGTCGGGTATTTTAAAAGTAACATTGTTTTGCAAAACGAAGCATCAGCGCTGAAGCTATCGCTGATGTAACACGCCTGTGAACAGGCACTAATTCGAAATTCTACGACAGATGTCCCTTCAGGACTCCATCGGTTCGTACAACACGCCAGAACCGGCGGAGAGGGAACCGGAGAAGAAAGGGGAAAAGGCTGGAAATTTGCAGGCACTGGTCGACGCCATCGGCACCAGAATGAGGGACATAGAGTCCGTCGTGCAGAGAATGAGCGAGAAGGTGCACCAAGCAAAGACTTCAAAGGACCCTGAGGCCAGCGGTGAAAAAAGGTGAGCCCGGCTTCTATCTTGGGTTCACAGAAGGTTTTGTCATTTTTTTTTAATCACTCGTTCGTAAAACAGTTGCAAAAGCTTTCGTAGCGCAATAAAACAAAAAAAATCCAAAGGCAGCACTGAAGAACACGCCTACCCCATAACATTTGTACTTGGGACATTTTTTTCGTGGTTTTTGTATTAGACCCGTCGTCCATATAATTGTAAGTCAATGTTGCAGTAGAATAGAATAGAATATCATTTACTTGCTTTAAATAGGGTGGGTACATTATAAATGTTGGTGGTAAAATTGATTTGGAGAGCTTAATCCTATTTAGCCTTAAATAAGAGCATGCAAATAATGCAATACATTAAGAAATTGATTGAACTAAAAACAAGATAATATAGTAATTCAAAGATTAACATATGCATCAATTTGTAATCAACGAACTTTATCTTTGAAAAAATCGTCAATCGAGTAGAATAGCTGTTCTAGAAGCCAAGTGTGCAATCTCCTTTTAAATGTAGCGAAAGGAAGGGATTTAAATCGAATATGGTATTTTATTAAAAACTTTTCCACACATTGCATAACTGTTACTTTGGAAACGTTTCGTGTTAGGGATTGTGCCAGGTGTCACTTTGTTTGGGGTATTCTCAGACTTTTAGCAGTTACATCCTTCGCCAGTACAAATGTTTGTTGATTCTATCTTATAAATATGCCAGCTTCGAGTATACATGTATAGGACATGGCAGGGGTAATTTTAAACGGGGCGACATGATACATCTGGTGCCAAATTACAGATAGCTCGGACACCTCTTCCGTGCTATAAAAACTTTCCTGAAATCTATGCCGTTACCCCAAATGATTATGATATACCACTCAGGGTCATACTCACGTTACTGCTTGGGGGCAGAAATAGGTAAGGTAGCAATAACGCCCTGGACTGTCTTTCACAAAAAGCTCTACTGCTTTATTTGACTTTAAGGCCAGTCACCGGAGGAGAAGCGGGAGAAACTGTTTTGCTAGTTCAAATGGTTTAGATAGTAAATAATATTAACTAACGGTCTTATAAATAATCTCAGTACAGAGTACTAAAAAAACCGACCTCAAAAGTACGTGGAATTACGTCTATTTGCTAAGTTTCATTGAAATATCCCCTAATTCGCCACTCTACAGGACTTGATACTGGAGATAATAAAAATAGGTTCTCACTACGACACTACTCAAAGTATATCGAGAGAAAAACGCCTTGAATTGGAGAAATAGCAAAATCAACTAAATAATTGCTAAAAGTAATTGCTCCTAAATTAAAGTTAGGCGCTATTTATAACAATGAATCTTCATGCGTGAACAGCCACCCTTTGAGGTGGATGATTTTCTTCAAAATGAAATGGGACCACTATGGAAATACCCCCTTTCCAACAAAAAAAGAATCATGAAAATCGGTTCACAAATACCGGAGTTATCGCGTAACATACGTACAAAAAAAAAAGAACATACAGTCGAATTGAGAACCTCCTCCTTTTTTGAAGTCGGTTAAAAAATATACGATACACCTCTAAGGATGTTGTCTGAAGAATGTACTAATTCATTACACGCATCGAATATATAACCAGAAATAGAGACGAAATAAGGGCCATATATTCCTGGTAACACATTAGCGATACAGCTCTTATAAATATCAACTCTCGTTTGCACTGAAATATAGACAGGCCAACTACATACCTGTGTGTATGTCTTCGTATATTCCAAAAAATATTCTGTGTTTATTGTAATCAAGATAATATCTCTAACAATGCCGTGCAGTTCTATTCGGTGGTGTGGGAAAAACAGCAAAACATCTAATTACAAAACAAACGGAATCACATGTCATCGGTAATTAAATATTAAATATGTAATTTTGCAATTTTCGTCCATTATAGCAAAGCTCAAGTTAACTGGTCGATTTGAAGTGAAACCATTGACGACACCCGTCAATTGTTTCGAACTCGGGCTGGCCAATCGGAGCGCAGTTGTCACAGTAATCATATGGCAGAATAGTTTACAAACAAATTAAATGATATTTGGTCTCTATTTCTGGTTATACATTCGATGGTTATACGAAAAAAACCTAAAAAAAACATAAAAAATCCTAAAAAATACGCTAAAATTACGCTAAAAATATATACGAATTATTTAAGAATAAAATGTCTAACTTTATGTATAATTTTTATATGGAGATATTTCTCTTAAATACTACAGAGAACCTGCTAAAGTTTGATTTTCAACTGAAACCCTATATTATTAAATTTACATTTATCTCAAAACTTGAAAATTGCCCAGCGGTATAACGACACGCCGCGCCGCCAACTGACCCTTCAGTCGCCATTCTCGCAAAAAAAAATGAGTACCAGCACTTGGTCTTTATTATTTATTTGTGCACTAGGATTGTCATTAGACCGACAAAGAATACTCCCGATATCCGGCGACTTGTCGAGATTCATTGGTACTAAGAATATACTAGTAAAAAAGGCGTAACGGCTGAGATGTGATTCAGATTGCGTATCTTTTACGATACCATCTAAAGTGTCAAGACTCAGCATTTGATTAAGTGTAACTTAATTACGATGTTGTGTCGTGGTTTATATGACTTTTATTAGTACAATAAAAATTTTTATGAATAAGAATTTTAGTTGCATCCGTTTCGTATCAGTTCCGAATCCGAAAAATGACGGTCCCAAATGTCACAGGGATCATTTTGACTCTACTCGTACCAGCGATATTCGTATTTTTTCGGATTCTAATCGGACTTCGTGCACAAGTAACATCCGAAGTGGATCCGATTGTTTTTCCGAGATCCGAAAGATTTATATAGTCTCGTATTAATAAGAATCAGATGCAGAGCGCAAATCCGCTTAAGCATTAAGTAACGTAATATGTTGTCTGAGGTTTTACTTTGGTGAAGTAGAGGACACAAACAAAGCATACAATTCTGACAACGTTAAGAGGATAAAGCGCCAAGAGTGACAATGTAAAAAGCTATTTCAAAATTCACATAATGTATGTAAAGAATATTGGCGTCCCCCAAGGTGCTGTACTAAGCCCGATCTTATTTACTCTTCTACCCATGCAATGATGCTCTGTTTTTTTGCTACTCACTCTCATTCTCTGCTCTAGTACTCTGTTTTCTAGAATTCTCTGAAAGATATTGAACAGGTTGTGACCAGATAGGATACTTCGGTCCACAAAAAAATATTCCATAGTTTATAGGTAAAGAAAGGCTGTAACAAGAAAAAATATATAAAACACTGGTACGATACTATAAAACACTCCCTAACTTAACTACATACGGACATGCTTATGGATAAAGTTAACACTTACCCCAATAGGGCCGAGTTATACAGAATTACAGGTTGGTATTGACATTAAAATTGACACATGATTTAGGTTGAGAACTGATAAAAGATAAAAATTAGATGATTGAGCAGGAAGTGACGACAGTACGAAACAAAATCAGAATGGGGAGGCAAAGGAATTAACGAACGATTCAAAATTTGAAAACAAGTGACCAGCAACCAGTTAAAGATGATACAAAGGTGGGATGACGATGTAAGGAGGTCACATCGTCACAATATGATAAATTATGTTCCAAAATACACAAATGTGACATATTTTATACAATTCATGTGTTCTGTGTTGACGGTATCAGCAACGTGCCCTGAATATGTATTATCAAATTTATAAGATATGTATTCATCAAAAATATGTTTGCAGAGAATTAACTGAAAACGAAGCCAACAAACATCGCGAACTCAAAGACCGTAAGGCGAAGAAAACCAATCCCGACAATGAACACTATAAGAGGTAAGTTTAGGAGGGCACTGGAAGGGCACAATTCATATCATAAAAATGTTCTGATTTCGTAATCTAAACACCTGCAATGTAGCGCACTATGTCTCATATCGACCTTATTTAAAAACGCTAAGTATATTACCTCTCCCATTCCTATACATTCTCGAGGTTGGTATATTTTTAAAATTAAATCAATCAAAATGTATAATAGCGAAAGAACATAACTGCTAGAAGTCCAAGAAACCCAAATAAAGAAATACTAGACACAATACCAAAAACAAAACGCTTCCAAAGTAATTCTTATGCTATGTGTGCAGATCACTTCACGTCTCTTCCACAATAGGCGGCTTTTAGATCATTTTGTTCTTCTCAGTTGACGATTTTATGGAATATAAAGACTAATTGATTAATGCGTACATTCCTTTACGGCTATTTATTTATCGAATCTAATTAAATTATGATATCCACCATTATGGTAATCCTGTATCAATTCATTTCATTTTGTAACGCTGTTTAATTGTTTATAATTATTGTGATGCTTTTGTTTACGGCTGCATACATTGACTTACAATTATATGGACGTCGGGTCCGCGCTAAAAAGTG